TCCCAGCGCCCCGCGCTCAGCTCACTTCTCACTGGTGACTTTGTCGTCCCTTGAGTCTAAGGAATTTAAACTTTCCTTGAAGCCGCCCGAGGCTTAGCCAGTACCTGGGAAATGCAAGGCAGGGGAGGGACCTGGCTTTGCTTGAATGGGTTGATCCGTTGTGTTTGCTCCTGTAGGGAAAGAGTTTACCGTGGATAGTTTTAAACTTTAGGCTGCTTTTTCTTTGCTGCCATTTGGCCTTTGATGTGAGGCATCCAGGGCTTGTTGCTGCTTCCAGGCTGGGGCCCTGGACTGTTCCTTTTCTCCGACCTCTTTTCTTCCTCTCCTCCCCTTTTCTTTCTCTCTTTCTTTTGACTTTTTTCTTCTTTTTCTTTTTAGTTGAGACTACAGAGATTTCTTCCGTGTGGGTTTCCAGCGACTACAGGCTTGTGAAAGCTTAAGCTATAGCCATCGTCATAGATACCTACTGCTAACTGCAACTAGGAAACGGTAGCTAGATATTAAAGCAGAATCCTCTCCATTCTTTCCGGTAGTGTTGCGCGTTTGTCCTTTTGTGTAAGTGTCCTTTGCTCACCTAACATGATTGTGAAGTCAGAGGTCTGAGTTTCAAAGTCTTAGAAAACGGAAGAACATATTCTTTGGTCAGATAGAATGAATACCAAGACAGAGGGGTCAATTAGGCTTAAGGCCATGCACACCACACTGAACTACGTGAAGACACAGCTGTAATAGCACCGAGTTTCTGCCCTTGGTTCTCCAGATGCAAAGTTCTGAGTAATAATCACCAGAGCTTTAAGTATATGAAAGCCGTATTTTTTATTTTTTTAACCTTTATTTTTCCTTTCTTTGGTCTTGCGTGTTAACTTGGAAAAAATGCAGAAAGAGAGGCAAGCATCTTGAGGCAGAAGGGCTGAGAAGTGAGGCTGCAGAACTGGGCCTCATCATCGGGGCCCCCTTGTACACAGCGTCCCCTGGCGGTGCAACCCGAGCCTGTTCTGAGCTCCTGGTCTTGGTGTCCTCAGGAAAATGAATGGGTGGGATGATCTCTGCTGTTCCATCCACCTTTCCAATAACCGGGAGCTGCTGGTGGGTGACTTCTCCGTGATAGAATAGTTGATCTGAGGAAGGGAAACGGGAAAGGATTAATCAATCTAGTGGAGAAATGGGAGAGCAGCAGAATGAAAATGGAAAAAAAAAAACAAAACAAAAAACAAAAACAACCACCAGGAAGGCGGCTGCTTGGAGGTAAGGAACTTAAGTGGGGAGTTGGTTTTTCTCCAGTTTTTCCTTTCTTTGCCCACGAGGGAAACAGCAACACTTTCTTATTACAGCCTGGTGAAGCTGCTTAAAACTGAAGCCAGGTCTAAGCGACCCTTGCGGTCTGACCCCTAAGGCATCCATCACTTGCCCATCATGCTCTTTGCATCCTCAGCTGCTGTGGCCATCCAGAGCTCAGCATCCTGTGAGTGATGGGTAAGAAGTCACAGAAGTGAGACTTTAAGTGGCAGCATTTTAGAAACCTCTGTTTTCGTGCAAAGCCAGTGTTTTCCAGAATGTAATTTGATTATGTTTTTCAGATTGTATCAAAGATGTCAGGTATTATGGAATCTGCTCTGTTTGACCTAGTGGGCCATGCAAGGGAAGAGTAAACCCTAATGGCCAAGTCTTTGCACGCAATAACAGCCTGAAATTTGTGATTGTTTTTAGGGGAAAGGACTACTTCAGATGCATGGTATAAAAATTTGTACTCTGAACAGAAAGCATCATGCTGACTTCACTGGGGAGCCTCCCTCCCTCCCTCCCTGTCCTTCTCTGCATCCCTACCCACTCTCTCCTTGCCTTCTCTCTCTCTCTGCCTTCATCACGACTTTCTGCCTTTCCTTCTTCCCTTCCCCATCTCTCCATTACTTCCTCCCTTCTTCCTTCCTCTCTCCCTTCCTTGATAGCATCATGCCTGCACGTGTGAGGAACGTGATTTGCTTTGAAGGTGAGGTATGATGTCCTGAAAACCGACACATAAGCCAGCTCTGATTTTGCCAACTAAGTCAGCATCTTACTTCTGTCTGGTTTCTTACCTTTTGCAAAGCAGAATAATTCCAAGTCTCTATGGTGTTAGCATTTAAGTATCTGTTGTGGGTGAGTTAGGCTGCTGGGAGAGAAGGAGAAAACTTTAATCCACGAAGCAGCCATTGGATTCTTGTTGTAACAGGTACGAAGAAGATGAAAAGGAAGTTCTAGAAGGAGCTGAAGTGCAGAAGGTGGGGAATACAGATAGCGGTGGTGTAGGTAGTGAAGCCTGTATATGTGTCCTATTGCTTCACTGCATGGTAACGGAGAAGTCTTAAGAACCTTGACAGGCTGGGGCGGGGGGGGGGGGGGGCAGAAATAAATTCTAACTGTGGTGGGGAGACAAACAGCTGGAAGAATGCCTGTGTCATAAGAGAGCAATGGGAGAGTGGGGCACTCAGAAGTGGTTGTCAGGGTCCTTGGTGATGGAGGAGGCCTGGGTGTTACTTGAAGGATCTATGTCATGGCATTGTTTAACCCTAAGATGCATGAAGACCCTGAGTCATACTGCTTAGCTACAAAGTGGAGGTGAAATGTTTGAGGGTTGAATGTGTGTTCTCTGTGTTCCACTGTAAACTCGTGGGTAGTAAGCTGTGTGGCACCATTGCCGTTTTATTTAATGTTATTACTTAAAGCGTCTAGAACAGTCTGCATGCCATTTCTTCCCCTTTACCCCCTGCAAATGATAGCTTCCTTTTGGGAAACTTAACTTGGTCAGGATGGATGGGGCTCATGGGTTGCCCAGGGCCTCGTGGGGCCTTTTGAGCCCTTCTTTAGAGACAAAGTTGGGTGAGCATTGGTGCTTTCCTTTTTCTGTTTGGGGAACAGCTTGCTGGTTAATGCTAATTTAAACATGACTCTTCTCCACACTGACTTTCTTGACCCTGTTTATATTATACATAGTATCTTAACCACAGTGTGGAATATGTGTAGTACAGACGAGAGGATTAGTGTTAGTGCAGAAATAGAGTTCATGCCTTTTTTAAAGGACTGGGGGGCGGGTAAAGCCCTAAGAATTCTCTGTGGAGTTTAATTTCCAATACTCCAATAGAAGTGCCTTGCTCAGTTTTGTAGGGTAATTTGTACAGATTTTAGTTTTTCATCTCTGAGGCAGTTAGCTAGTTATATCTCAGGGGAATCTTAGTGGAGTTCCTTCAGGAGAGGGCAGGACCTCCCTCCTACCCTCTGCCTTTGTGCCCCACATGAGAATGGATGAGTTTTCAGTTGCATGTCAAGCTGATTTGGGTAAAGACTTTGAATTACCCTTGAGTCTAGAATGCTAGGCTGCTAAGGAGACAGATCATTAGAAGCGATTAGGTTAGCATTTTTTGTTGTCTTCCGGATACAATTTGAATGCATGATTCTCTTAGTAGTTTTTAATTAATTTGTTTATTATTTTTAAAATCTTTGGCAAGGTGTGGGGACTTAGGTTTGGCATGGTTAAAAAAATCAAATAGTTAATTAGTAAGTCCAAGTTGACATACTTTATTTTAGGGTTCTCAAAGGGTCATTTTTTTTTAGTGAGTGGGGGGTTGTATTTAAATCTCTTGGTTCTTTGTTTTAGTAAGTTCGTGTGGTTTCAGTGTAGCATTTATTCTTACACTACCTGCTTACTGGCACAGGGCCAAGGAACTTGTATTAATGCCTGGACATTCTCTCCCACCACCCCACCACTGACATGCAAACCTTAACCCTGAGGTTCACATAAAAGTCAGTGTTTTTTTTTTCCCCCTTCTGAAAATGAAAGGGAACTATTTTAATGCATCCATGGATTTAGGTTATAATTTATTTTCTTTTTGTGGTACTGTTTTAAAAAAGTGATATAATGACAGGGCAGACTCTTAACTTTAGTCCAGTGCTAAAACAAACATGTACGAGCCTGAGTGGGGTAGGTTGGGGTGTGCTTGTGGTAGCATAGAAATAAAGGAAAATGCTTTCAAAGTCAGTCCCTTCCTCTAAAGGGGGAAAGAAAGCTTGGCTAGTAACATGTAGCTTTGGATCTCTGCTTAGTTTGAAACTGTCACTTAACGGATCATTTTGTCTGCTGGAGACATTCTGTGTGCCTGTGATTCCAGAGATGCAAGATGCAAGTGTCCCTGAGGGGAGGGGCAATGGGCTACTCTGAACTATTCTCTTCAGCAAGTTTGCCACCTCCCGTTTTCATGCACTTCAGCCTCCCCCTTTCCTTGCATTTGTGACAGGGTCTTGTACTGTAGCTCAGGCTAGCCCCAGCTCTATGAAATCCAGCCTGCCTCAAAGACCCCAAGGGTTTGGATGAACCACTACCACACCTGAATTTCCTTTTCTTTTTTTCTTTTCATTGTCTAAATTTGAAACAATGGATTAGATTAGTCTTCCTGTAAGTCTGCTACACTCAGGTTTCTTTCCCTGCGTCCCAGTGATTCTCCTGACTCCTCGTTGAATTTCTGCCCCAATAAAGTAGTCCTGCCTCTTTGGAGGAAGGTAGATGTGGGGCAGAGGAGGTAAGATTTGCTCAAGCCCAGAGGTATCTAACTGACTGCTGGTACAAATAGGCCTTGTGCTAAGTACCAGCAATGGACAGAAATGAACAATGCAGGGTACCCCCCGCCAACCAAGAATCTAGTGAGGGTTTCCAGTGATGGGTTCCTGGTGCTCTGGGAACATCAAAGGCAAAGGGACAAGGGACACCTGGCCTTCTGAGTCAAGGGTCAAGGCAGTGGAAGTGGAGATGCTGAAGATGGGGGAGGAACCATAGAAGATTAGAATCTGGAAGGACCCTGGGAGATAAACCAAGCCTAGGGGAGAACAAAAGAGATCAAGCTAGAGGGAGTCAGGAGGCATCTAGAAGGAGCTCTGCTGTGTCCCGGTAAGTCAAAGGGCTTTTCTTTTTATATCTGTGAACTAGGAACATGTACTGATGATATCTGTTTCCTAAGTCTAGTCTCTATTTTCATGGGCCCTTTCTTTAATCTCATAGATGGCTCATTCAGTCATTCTATGTTCTGTGGGTATTTCTTAAATGTCTGTCTACACTTGGGGGACAGGTGGGAACAAGTGGGGTAAGGCTTCTTCTACTGTGGAAATAGCATTCTCTCTCTCTCTGTCTCTGTCTCTGTCTCTGTCTCTCTCTCTCTCTCTCTCTCTCTCTCTCTCTCTCTCACACACACACACACACACACACACACTCACACTCACATCAGAATCTCACATCTCAGGCTGGCCTTCAACCTGCAGTTTTTCCATCTCTACTTCTTAAGCGCTGGGGTCACCGTCATCCACACTGTGCCTCATTTTTTTTTCTGTCATATTATGTGACCTACTGAAGTTTTTCTGAAATGCCTTCAAATGCACAGATACGATTTTTGAGTGATTCTCCCGTTTCAGCAGCTTCTTCAAAGTCCTCTTAGTGTCTCCCCTGGGTGAAGGAGTCAGAGTCTGGTATCCAGGCCTTCCATTTTATAAACTTAAAACAGTTCACCAAGATTAACCTGTGAGTTGTAATAATGCAGTCAGACAAGCTGTGTTGTGGCTGTAGCCTTGGCTTGTTTCCATTTCCTTCTGGATATTCCTACTTTTGATCCAACTTGTGTTTAAGTTTCTATGCTTAGTTTATGGCTGTCTTCCTAGAAAATTCTGAGTCTAGTGTCTGAATTTGATGGGCTTGTTGAGAACCCTTAAGGATACAAATATAGAAAGTGTCCAACCAGAAGAGAGGCACTGTATTCATTTGTAAATGTAGAAGAATTTGTAGTGCTCCGAACTGGACACACGTGTCTGAAGATGTGATCTCTGCCACTTCAGCTGTCTGTCTAAGGTAGCTGTTTCATCACTGATTTGCCCTAGAGCCTTCTCTTATTGGCCTTTGGTTACCCAAGCCTAGATCACTGTATATGCTTGTTTGCACGCATGTGTATATTTTTATACATCTGTGTGTAATCATGCCAGCATGTTTTCCATTTGTCTCTGTTCCCCATGGTCTTAGAGGCTGCACCCAAGGTTGCCATCAAAGGTGACAAGCAGAAGCCAGAAGAGCCCTCATGGACTCTACTTGACTATAGACTGACTTCATTCAGCAGAGTTCTTGTCAGTGATTCAAATGCCTGTTATGAAGGGGGAAACAGAAAACCATTTCCAGCTGTGTGACACTCAAGATGAATAATGCCATTGCAGGGTGTGTTCTTTCCACTAGGGCTCTGCTGCCCCTGGGTCTCAAGCGAAGGGAGGAGGGGCATTTGAGAGCACGTGCTAGGCATCTGTGAGCCTTTTGTTAGGTAGAAAATGAAGTGCCAGGGGAAGGCCTGGAACCACTTGTGGAACGGAAGAGACAGGTGGAGTTATTCATTATAGGCAGGTTTCACTGTGGGAGCCTTAAACAAAGACTCCCTCCCCCAGCTCCTTAGAAGTCTAATCAGGGGATGATAAGGGTGGTGTGTTCTCAGAATGGAAGAACACAGCAGCTAAAGCAGAATTGCCCTTTGTTAAGGGGTTGCTTGCCTTAACAAATCGGACTATGATTTGTTGGGGAGAGGATTATTGTCATGTCAAGAAAATGAAGCATTCATTCTGCCCCACTGTTCATTGTAGTTCCACAGGAAAGCCCTTGCCCTCCTTGCTGAGTAGACCCAGACAGAAAGGTTGAAAGGCCAGCACAGTCTGACTGATGTTTCCAGATTCAGCAATGTCTGCTTTCTAGTCATTTTTATCTGAGATCCTGTCAGTTAACTTCCATGCATCTGATAGCTTAGAGGATTTTGGGTCCTCTTGCATGGCTGACAACACTTAGAAAAATTCAGCAGCAGGCAAAAAAGCACATGTCTTGCTCACAATTAGATTATAAACATGGAAAGACTCAGCCAAAGATGACTCAGATCAGGCAGCCCGTGATAAATACTGCAAACCAAAGTTTAAACAGAATTCTCTGCACACTCCTGACGGTAG